CCCAAGAACTGACGATATCAACGATGATCTCAATTTTAACGATCGGTAACAAAATATGTTCACCCAGCGATATTGTCAGTCTATTCTAAACGATATGCAGGTTGTTTGAAAAGTTTTAGACTCGAACATACAGCCGGCAACACTTAACCACAAAAGTTGAGAGATACGTGTGTACATGCGTTGATAAGTAGTCATTATAATCGTTCATGTGCGTGTGGTTGTTGTATGACAATGGTTTGCGTGACACAAATTTTAATGTGAAAAGAGCAAAAAGTGAGTATCAGGCTGTCGCTAAGTACAAGTCACTATGTAGTTTTAAATTATGGACGTCGTGTATAGCGGCTTTACGCCGCGGTGGACCGAGCAAAGGCAAAATTGCAAGAACGAAAGATCGATTTGTTGTTGCCTTTCCCATATTCTTCAGATCGTAATCTGCAACGACTATTATCTGTTGAAACATCGTTAAAGAATCATTAGGGAAACTGAAGTGTATTTGAAGAGTCGCGCGAAATCTCTAAAAAATTACCTAAATGTTAGGCTACCGTTCGACTTATTGTATGACTCTTGAAGAAGTTGATAGATAAATCGAATTTTTCTTGTTTTTTACTTATGTAGGAAACTTTTTAAAAAAAACCTCCTATGTGGTTAATAGAAACAGTTACGTGGCGTATGCATTAATATTTGATGGTAAAGTATATCCGTAGATGTGCATTGTGTTTTGTAGTAGGCAGAGTTGTATTTTTAGATAGGTTACACGCTCTCAATTATGAAAACGTTTTGTTTCGATTTTTAAGACGATATGTCATAAGTAGCAATATGCCATCTTAGATGATACTATACCTTCTTCCTTTGAAAACTCCTCTTCATGATAGCATACAATTTATATCGCTTGAAGTGTTGTGATTGGTTATATGAACACGATGAATAATGAATCGAGTTTAATTCGGAACCATGATGAAAACTGGATACACTACGATAAATTAAAAAAGAAGAAAGAAGTAGACGAAGCATAGCGATCGAAGCAGTAAATTGAGCGGTAAAGCCTTACATCAGTGATTATGATATTTGTACAGATTAGCTTTGGGCTATGATCTACACTGATCTAACGAACGTATGTCTTGTAGTATTTTGATAAGCATTATACGAACAATTGTATTAAGCGAAACGATGTAGGGTATTTAATGGTGGACCATTGTTCTCCATAGTGCATTTGCTTAACTTTCAAATTCGATGATGAAACTGCAGATATGTTTCTCGATTATTTTTATTATGAGCATTATGAGAACCGATTGTTTGATAATAGACAGACGGAAAGACGAAATTATGAACGCAAAGCTCATAACAGTAAAATTATATATACTTTCTCTGTACAATGGCTCACATACTTAGATGCAATTATTATAATGAGTTTCGTTTGCCTGCTTCAAGATACCGTATTGTCCACGATTTGCTATTTAGAGATGCGGACTACTGGCTTGTTCTTGAAGATAAAGACAACAAAGGAATAGATTGCTCAAATTTGCCTGTCAGTATTAGCTGGCTCTTTGTTGCAAATATTTTCTTTTAAAGTGAAGCCATTCGAATCATACGATCGTAGAATCGAATCTCGTCATTCTCACAATAACGATCCGACGGGCTTAACAGCCAAAATTTTGTAATATGTAAATAGCGCTCTTACCATTGATAAAATTGTTTGTGCAAGCAATAAAAGAATTTCATCGAAAAACTTTAATTATTAGATATATGCGATATCTGAAGTGAAATACATATATATATATATATATATATATATATATACATATATATTTCATGTATAACATAAATTAATTCATTAAAATTATTAACAAGACATTTTAAAGAGTCGTAATTAATTTTGATAATTAATTAATATATATATATATATATATATATGTTGGTTAGTTTTTATATTCACTACATCAAGAAGGAAATATGCAAAATTCATTATTTCGTCTGCTAGATGCACTAACATGCGTTAGAGGCATCGCAGGCATCATAGATTATTTCCTATATATTTTTTTTGGATGTTTTACAGAATCGATATCATTTGTTTACTTATCGTTTCGTTTATCGTGTCGTGATGGAATCGCATCGGGAACAGAAACAATATACTTGATGCATACGTCTTCGATTCATCTTCATAGATCTTATTTCAATCGTCAAGCAATTCGCAAAGCAAAGATTCCTTATTCGCATTTAATTAAAATTTCCTCTAGCGTGAATATTATCATTTGTGTCACTTGTTATGTTATGTTATAGTTTTAGATCGATCAACTAATTAATAAACTTTTTTTCATCTCGTTTTCTTTGTGCAGATATATAGTATGATTATATATATATATATATATATATATGTTTATACGTTAGAAATTTGTAAGTTGGCGCATAGACAGACATAGCACGAGAAATGCTTATGATTCATTACGTACGTATGTATATAAATTTTTTCATTCACATATATTGTTTACGTGAGAAATATGTTTTCTCAATGAATGTGTTATATATGTCTATTGTATGACATGTTGTTTGTGTATAGTTTTATATTTACATTAAAACGAAACGTGAGAATTGCATACGTATGGCGGTTTCCATTTAAAGCTGATTTTTTTCTTGTTCTTTTATAAATAGCTTAGATAGATATATATTGCAGATACGGGCTTAGAATTTCGAATGCTGATCTGTTTCCTGGGTAAGAACGTAGTTGATTGCAGTAAATAAACTATTAAGAGATATGGTAAGAGTTTTAAGCTAAAGGCATCCCTTTGAATTTTTATACCCATCACCGAAGGACCGAAGGTATAGTCATTTTGTCAAAACGTTTGCAACGTCCAGAAGAAAGCTTTAGAGAACCTACAAATGTATATTTATATATATATATATATATATTCATGATAAGCATCGAATACTAAATCGATTTAAGCATGTCCGTCTGTCCGTCTATGTAATGTCTATGGAGAACATTCTTCTGGCCACAAACATGAAGCATCGTCTTCAAATTTAGCAGAAACATTGCATGGTCTTGCACATAGGTTGATATTGAAAATTGAAAATAGGCACGCCTACAGTGCTACGTAAAGTGAAGACTTTTGTACTTTTCAAATGAATAAAAAATTGGCTTCTTTCTCTTTATTCATAAACTACAGCAAATAAATCTATGAAAATTTGGACGTATATTCTGTGGGCGATGCTGTAGTAGATGTACAAACATAGAAAGGATCGTCCACGCCTACTCAATGCACCTAAGCATGTCCGTCCGTTCAATTGTCCATTTGCCAAACTGTGTCATAGGTGTGGTAAATATTCTCCACCTTTATTAACAGTTACCTTACCGATGCTCTGGCGATAAAAACTTTGTAGAAGTTTCGAGGCGAGTTGTTTATTAACCCATTTTCGCCTATTTTCAACTTTGTGGAACTGCCGGTCTATTAAGTACGACTACGTCGTTCTGAACAAGCAGTTATCGGAAGACGTCAGGTTTGAAGACTAAGCCAGAATTTAAAGAAGTTTTTAATCCAAATTAAAGAATATTTAATAGGTTGTCTTTGCTGTAAACAGTCGGACGTTGTCGTGAAGTAAAATCAATTTTCGCTAAAATTCAAATTTAATGAAAAAAATACTTGTCACAAAGCTTGATAATTGAAATATTCTCCACCGTCATCTATGGTCTTTTGCCTCTTATTCGGGTAGCATACGGAAGATCTCGCTACAGAAGTTTCGTAGTTTCGAGCCGACTCATTTTCGTACATGTTTATTTGCGAAGAAACGCTGGATTGTTAATTGTGCCTACAGAAATCTGAAGAATTGGCTATCAGACGAAGGCAGGTCTTCGTCCAAGTTGCCTTTGCTGTAGACGGACGGACGTTTTCATGAAGCGAAATCACTGTTTATGTTCCTTTGTTCGCAAATGATTACTTAGTTCGACTTGTTCGGTTCGTTCAGTTGTAATACCGTTTCACCAGTCCAAAAGTTTTAGAAGTTCGTGGTAGATGCTTGCTTTCCTTTTCAATCTCCGCCATGCAAAGCTCTAGGGCAGTGATCGTCTTCAAGATTGAAACTTCTTGTGCGAAATCTCACGAACCGCTTTCTTAATTTTTTTTTGAAATTTTTTTGTTTTTTTTCACTCCGAGCGAATAAAATACAGTGCGCGTAAATGATCTTATTTTATCCATACACAGTTGTGGACTGAACGACAGCTAGTAAATAATTGAAACCTCTACCGTAGAAACGTCAATGTCTAGTCTATGTATATCCTAACGTTTTTCAAAAAAAAAAAATAATAAAAAAACAAAAAAAAAAAAATGGCATATTTGTTTTATGAAGCAATCAATTTTAATTTACAAAATTTATTTGTACACCTAATATTATCATGGATTGAGTTATTTTTTTAATTGCATTTGCTATGGAATTTCCCATACGTAGTACATTTTAGTGATAAATGTTTACGTGTGTGAATAAGTGTATGCGAAATATTCTCTGCAACGTTTAAGACTTTTCATTTTGATACCAAGAAGGCAGCCGAGACAAGAACCCACAATGCCACAATGCAGCAATTTGCGGGCGTGCGAAGCGAAACGCAGCAGTTTGATCATCCGGATGTAGTAAGAAATGTAGTTTTTCAAAGAAAGTTTTAAGAAAAGTGACATGCACAAATACACAAACACATACACACACACACACACACACACACACACACATACAGACAGGCACACATTGCATATCAGATATCCAAAAGTCATATTTTTAAAAATGTTATTTAACATTTTCTTCGTGTTGTTTCTTTTTTTGCATGTTGTCTCACGTTTTTCATTAGTTATTCACGCATATTTTGCTGCTCACACTTTTATGCGACTTAAGAGCACATATACGCGGTCATAAATTTAAGCAAACATGCATATATGTCTAAAAAGAAGAAGCAAAAGCAGAAGCAGCCGCAGAAATAAAAACAGAAACAGAAGCACAACTAGAAACCTAGAGAGAATCCCACAGTTGAGCCATTAGATGTTCTACATGCCGCTTAGTTATCTGTTGCAAGTTGTTTAGTGCGGAACATTACTTTACATTTGGTTGACGTGGAAAAAACATAAAAGCAATAGAGCACTTTTTATTATTATTACTATTTTTTTGCCTTTTTTTTTTTTGTTGTTTTTCAAACGAAATTAAATAAAACGGAGCGAGTGTGTGTGCGCGTGTTTGATTTTTGTAAAGTGAGGTTAAAAGGCAATGGCTACACCAGCTGAGCTTGCTCGCCTTATTGACCTGCATTTAGATGATTTACGTGACACGGAACCCAAATGGTGTGTAGGTCATTCCGAAGTGGCCGGTCGTGGTGTTTTCGCTACCGCAGACATACCAGAAGGGGAAATATTATTCCGTGAACGTGCTTTAGTTGTCGGACCGACAGCACGCAAAGGCTCAATATTGAATACGTGCGTGTGTTGTCATAAATTGCTACCGGTCAAGGATTTCCTTTGCAAACGTAATTGCACGTTGCCTGTATGTGATGTATGTTCCGATTCCCAAATACATCGCGGCGAATGCGATTGGTTTATACGTTGGCAGCCTATGGATTTAATAAAGGATGATAGCTCCATGACTGTTAATCCTATGTCATTGCGCATACTCACCGCTATACGAGTTTTTCTATTAAACACTAATCAGCGTGCTTTAGTCAATGCGATGCAAGCGAACGCTGACCGCGGCTATCGTCAGGAAATTATTAAAGCTGCGCAATGTTTTCGCAAATTTCCAACCACTGATAAAACCTTTATGGATAATTTATTTCGCGTTGTCGGTGTTCTCAATACAAATGCATTTGAGGCTCCCTGCCGTAAAGGTGATCATGACACCTTGGTTCGCGGCTTATTTCCATTGACGGCCATAATGAATCACGAGTGCACACCGAACGCTAGTCATTATTTTGATAATGGAACTATGGCCGTAGTACGGGCTGCACGTTTCATTCCTAAAGGTGCCGAAATAACAACTACATATACAAAAATCTTATGGAGTAATGTTACACGATGCATATTTTTGAAAATGACAAAAGGATTTATATGTGATTGTAGTCGTTGTAATGATAATACAGTGAGTTATTGTTTTTCTTATTCTTTTTGTTTGGTTTTTTTTTTTTTTTTTTTTTCTTTTTGAGGGTAACAAAATTAAGGTTCAATCGTTAATTTAATTAGAAAATGAAAACACAAAACCATAAGAAAAATATGAGTTTACACGATATTGCCTAAATATTGATTATAAGGTTTCTCATACATATATATATATATACCTTTTTTTTTTGTATTATTATCATGAGTATATATTCTATCATTTTTTACCACTAAGTTAATAATAGATATCAATGATATTCGTGACACAATAAATATTGTAAATATAGTGGTTTAGTTAAATTTTTTTTTTTTTGAATTTTAATGCGAATGAAAAAAGTTAATAACTAGACAGAGTATACCAAGTTCAGTACAACACAATACAAAGGGACTGAATGTTAGAAATCAAACAGCGTTATCTTTGGCATAGTGTGGAATAATAATTAACGTTATATAGGGATTCTTATCCTTAAATGTAAATAATTTTTGACCATTTTTTTTTTGACTCATTTTGTAATGAAAATTATCATCTATTTAAGATATTGTGTGGATAATACCTATTAGGGAATAGTCTAGACTATGTGGTCTATCAATACTTTTTATTTAACTGTTAATACCAAAAGAAAAAAAAAAAAAAAAAAAAAAAGAAAGAAAAAAGAAATTGCCCTAAAGCTTTCCTAGTCTCACTTAACCCATATTCTCTTGATTACATATGTTTTTGACAACGACTGAAGGCTATCCATTAGCTATTGCAAATGCTCTGCGGATTGATATGTGCACACACCTAAGCTTGCCTATTTAAAGAAACGGCAGTGTTGCACGGATTTATGTTAAAAATGGCTGATGGCCTATCTATCTTTTGTTTATGATTGATTATTTATATGCATCGTATCGCTTATATTAAGGGCAATATATTAAGCTTGTGTGCGCGTATGTAAAACACAAAAAAAACTTTAAAATAAACTCATCATTGACTTAGAATCATCTTCTATACCGATTTACCTATGTCGGTCGGTCTGTCCACTTGTTCTTCTAAGATCGCTGCCCATGTACTTTTATGTTTAATCAATAGAACACAAGCTTTGAGATATGTTAAAAAAAAGTTACTATTACACTGACGTATTTTACCCCAAGAACGAATCCTATTAAAAATGAATTGAGTCCGATTTTTACGATCTCTCGCTGTCTTCTTCTTTATTTTGTAAGAAGCCGTTTTATGAAAAAAATTCTCAAAGTTTGTCGATCAAAGTTGCTAGATGATGGCATTATCTTATTATCGAAACTTTGAGTTGAATGAGTCAATTTTCGAAAGTCCATATAACTGGCTCTACGAAAAGTAACTCTTTATATATCCTCCTTATATATATATATATATATATATATATAACATGAAATATCAATTATGGATAACGTCCATCTTTTTTTCTTTTATTTCATATAAGAGTTCTCAGCGAAAGTAAGCCTTTATATGGTAACAAAGAGTAATATTTTATAATTTATGGCGGAAATATGCGGAGAATAGGAAGGTTTTGATAAGAAAAAGCCCAATTTTTATTATTTGATCAAAACCGATTTACAATAGCAATCTGACATGAAAATTAAGTACACAAAACTTGAACCTAGGTAAGACTATTTAATCCACCCCGAACCGGACCACATAAGTGTTCTTATGAGAAATAAGCCTTTATGTGGCAACAAAGGGTGATGTTTAGTGACTTTTGCAGAAAATATGATAAATCTTCGAGAAGAGGATTAATTTTGCTATGGTTGGACGAAGTGAGTTCAGGCTTTGAACTTTTCGCTCTGTAGGGGGAACAATTTGATATTTTATCACGAAAATAAATGAAGGAATTTGTTACACTATTTGGTGTAGAGTAAGTAATGGTCGTCCCTACCCGACTATGTTTTTTTAAGCAATGAATGAATGAAAAAGAAAAACGGTAGAGAGTTCATAAAAAGCGATTTCCCGTGAAGAAGTGCAGGGAGCAATTTGATTTTAAGCACAATTTTGTTCAAAGCCATGCAATTAATTAAAAGTCTTCCGCCAAGCCGGTTACAGATAAAGCAAAAATCTCTCTTCAAAATTGTATTTTGTAAATTGCAACATGTTTTCCTCGCAATCACGTTCCAGTTCTTTTCCTTGCAATAATTACATTTCCAAAATAACTTTCCCTAGTCGAGGTATTTCTGCTAAAAAAAAAGAGCAATGACATCAGTTATTTTTAAATTAATTTTTTCAAAAATTTCACAATAATTCAAAAAATTAAATTATCTGATTCACTCGTCAAAGCATTCATACCCAGTGAGGTTTGTCGCAAGATTTTAAAAATTCGAATATCTTTCATACAACGTTGCACCACTTGCCGTGCAAGGATACATTGAGTTGGCAACACTTACAAAACACTTGAGACAGAGGTACCATTTTCTATACCGATCGAATCAGAATCACTTTCTTATGCCGGCTTGGACTTTTGAGGTATTTTAATGAATGGTAGACGGACATATTTTCGCCCAAGAACGGACACTACTGAAAATAGTTCGTGTCAGATCATTTCTTCGAGCACTCGTCATACAGCACTTTACTTGCAAAAGCCGAAGGGTATTACATAAAGTAGTGTAGGTTATTTTATGATGGGCCCTGGTCCACTAAAGCGTTTTCATTTGTTTCAAAATAGCTCATTGCTTGAGTAGTAGACGCAAAAGTGATGCGATCCTATTCACTATCAATAGCGTCAGTATACCAAATATCGTATTGAAAACAAAAATACATAAGTGAACAGATAGATTGCTAAAGAGACATACTTCGAGGTATTATATTCATTCACACATATGTAATATATCCTGCATCACAAGTGGTGTGGTGTATAAAGAGAGAAAACTTATACGCATTTCCAATAGTTTGCACGTAAGCACGTACAGGGGTGCTGCCAAGGTGCCTCGTTTCAAGTTGCCTCGGATATTGCATGAAATCAAATTAATGGTATCTTTCGATCTCTTTCATTAATTATTGTCCTCTTATTTATCTTGATAGTGTTTATATATTCATTTCAATATATTGTGTACCTATGTATACATATATATATATATATATATACCTATGTATACATATATATATATATATATATATATATATATATATATGTATATACATATTTGAAATCAAATAACGATTCGTTATGTTTTTTTTGTTAAGCTTAACAAGTATCAATATATCTATGATATTTGTCGATGACATATCGACGACAATTCGTTACGGTTCAGTACTTATGCAGGACTATTGCTAACATTTCATTTTATCCTTTTCAATTTGTTGTACTTTTAGGAAAATGGCACTTATTTGGCGGCTTTACTTTGCCGAGAACCGAAATGTAAGGGACTGGTGTTGCCCATTCAAACGAAGACTCTGCAACCAGATTGGCATTGTCTAACTTGCAATACGATATTTCCTCATGCTAAAATGGCTCGCTATCAGGATTTTGCCTTAAATACAATTAATAATCGGATCAATACAAGCAGTGTCAGTGATATGATTACATTTATTAATGAAATGTGCCCGAAATTTTGTCCACCATCCAATTACGTTTTGGTTGAGGCGAAATTGAATGTTATCTGGCGTATGTCACGTTTCAATAAAGATGAATATACCGAAGAGCAAAAACAACATCGCGATCGTTATCGCGTAGAAATTTTAGAGATATTGAAGAAATTGGGAGCGGGTGACTGTACTTTAAGAAAATTGATAATGGAAGAAATACAATGAAATTAAAATGAAATAAATAATTAACTGGCAGTATTTCATTAGCTGTGTATGGTTTTAGTACAAAAACAAAAACAAAATGAAAGCAAGCAAATAAATAAAGAATCAAATTTTATTGTTTAATTAATTAATAAATAAATTGCAAAAGATTTACGACAAAAAACATTGAAAGTCTTTAAATTTATTTATTCATTATTATTTTGTTTATTTTATTTATTTATTAATTTTTTTTTATTTTTTTTTTTTATCTTAATTAAAAATCTTTAAATATAAATTAATTGTCATTTAGCGTCACAGCTGTCACTTCTTATGGCAAGTACTTAAATATTAGATGGCCGAATATGAAAGTGGCAGTAGAGAGTAGTGTTTATGAACATAACCCATTACCCAATAATAACTAATTAACAATAAAAAATAAACAACAACAACAAAAAAAAAAATCCAAAGAGGTTAACAATGTTATTACTATACGTAAGTCAGTTTAACGAAATAACTCGACATTAGAAATCAAATAACAAATGCGGACGTAATTATTATGGAATTTATTCATACATTACTATTATTGTTGTTCAGCAAGAAGAAATGAAACTGTTTCCCTGCTTTAGTCAACACTTATTTCATACGGAATACTCGGTATTGCTAAAACTCATGTGTCTGTATATAATGGGTTGAGTCTGCAGTAATAACTGTATACTTTATAGGGTAATAAATTTTGATATTTGCAAATTAATCGAGACTTCTTTATTGGATAAGGATTAAGAAATAGAGAGAGCGAGAAAGCGAGAGAGAGAGAAACAAAGAAAAAAGAAAGAAGGAAAGAAAGAAGGAAAGAAACAAAGAAAGAGAGAGAGAGAGAGAGAAAGAGAGAGAGAAAAAAAGAGAAAGAGGGAATGAGTGACGAAAGGGTATGGGCGGAGGAGAAGGGGAGAAAGAGAGGGGCGGCAGAATTTTGGCTGAACAAGTGAATATAATCAAACCTCTTCAGATTTCAATTCCGAACTAAATCACATTACTTACTTAACAACTTACTTTCCATACACATTACAACCATGAGTATATGAGTTTCATATATTAGGTCTCTAAAATGGTATTTTTTGCTTTCTAAACCTTCAGAGGACGTGCTAATTGCATTTATTGTTGATAATAAGATATACGTATATGCACATCTGCAACTTACTTTGGATCACCGATTTATTAGGATCCTTCTTCAGGCAATGCAAAAATGATCCTGCGATGGCATATCTTAATATCATAAGGTCACTGAAAGGTAGCGTTCTGCCACAATGTGTGTGTAGATGTGTGTGTGTATGTTTGTCTTTTTTTCTTGCTATAGTAACTCGAGATAGAAATCTTCCTAAGATACTACTGGCCCGTATCAGTAGCAAGTCAGGTTCATCATCTGCACTATCACCACACATTCACTTCTTCTACTAGCATGCATGTGGGACCTCTGTTAGATATTACTTCGCCGAGGCTGAGTGCAGTCAGTGTGGATCTTACTGAACTATCCTACTGGCTTCCACTTCCCCTTTGTTTCGCCCGCTGTCTGTACAACTGATGTAATACATATCGTACCTTTGTCACAAAATTGTTCACTTCAGGTGCTTCTGGCTTCCGCATTGTCAGGGCATTTCCCTAAACGTTCCGTGGTAGCCGCATCTAGGGCGATCATATGTCTTACATCTTCGGCAACTGAATATTACTTGTTCAGTGTCGTCTAGTGTGCCACTATGCCGAGTGTCGTGACTGAATCGGTCAACGTTCCGTCATAATCCATGTGGTATGCGTGTATATATAAAATTAGGTGAGTAGTTTTATTAGGCTTTCAAATGATTGAAGGATAGATACCTAAGTCGAAGCTACCTCGTACTCTCACAATGATTAGGAAGCTATATATATGTACATAGGTGGTATTTTGTTATATGTATCTATCTGTTCATATATCGGAAATTTCTGTACGTCTACTTCATCTAATTCTGATTTGGTTTTCACACAAATAAACTTTGCGCATAAACACATCAATATTACATGAAATTGCAATTTGAGTGAATATATGCCGGAGTTGTATAAAAAATTTTAATTAAACAAAATACAAACGACCCATTAAAGTGATAAAATTAAGAAAAAACAAAACGACTTAATGTTTTACATATAGAATCGCTTGATATATACTTAAGTATCGACCAAAAACGTATATAAATTTCTTGTTGATTCTTAATATTTTTATTTCTGTTTTGTTAAATATTTTAAATTGAATTAAGCGAGTGCACATTCAATTGGCCTTGAAGATTTTCTTGTCAAAGATTTCGCTAAATATTTTATCATCTTATCGAAAGAAAAATATTTGTCATTGTCAAGAAAAAAATTAAAAAAAAAAAAATTAAAAGAAAATAATTATTAAATTTATTCGACCATAAGGTGAGCGAGAGGCGTTAGAACGTAAAGGTTCCAAAGGCTGAACAACTTATTTTTCTAATACACGCGTAAAAGTGGTTCGCATAGGTAAACATTTTTCATCGTAAATCCCTATCAATCTAATCTGGAATCTAACGACCTTCTCATATCGATTTTTAAAAAAAATATATATTTGCATAGGCTCTCTTTCGTCGTCGATCGTACACTGGCATTACAGAGATAGTTTCAATACGAAAGGCGATTGAGTTTCACTCCGAAACTCACGATCACTTTTTTTTATTTATTTATTTTTCTTTTTCTTGTTTTTTTTTTTTTTTTATAATATCATCAAAATTCGTTTTCTATCATTTTTTTCTATTCTTGACTTATTTACCATAATTTGGCAATTAAATTGTGTTTCCAAGAATTTTCTTCATTTGCCTTTCTTCTTCTTCTTCTTCTTCTTCTTCTTTTTTTGTCTCGTGCGTAATTATGATTTATATATAACGAGTCTTACAACATGTATTTATATGTACGGATACCATTCAATTGAATCAAAAATACTTTGTACTGATTTCTAAGTAGTAGTATTACGTACATGCATAATACAGTGATTTTCGGTTAGCTATTTTGCCCTTTGGCGAATACTTGATATTAAAATTAGAAAAATAAAACACAAAAAATTAAACACAAAATATCCCTTCAATTAAAAGATTAATTATTGATATATTTTTTTTCTTCGTCATTGCGATTTTTAGGTTAAATTTCTTAAGAATTTAAAGTCAAAAGAAAATCAGTTCATGAGTACAGAAGTCAAGTAAGAGAAATTCCTTTATTATAGTATCCTCCTTATAAGTGCATTATTCGCTTATAAAATAGTCTTTGTCTTTGTTTGTTTTTTTTTTTTTTTTCTTTCACCTAAGATGACAAATAGCAACTGTTTCCTGCTTACAAAACATATTTATATAAAAATTTATTTAGTGTTTTGTTTTTTTTTTTTTTTTAAAAAATTTTTAAAAAAACAAAAAAAAAAAAAAAAAAAAAAAACTAATAAGAAAATTACATTCAGTCGTGACCGAATCTTTTATCCTAAAAAAGACTTAAAAAAAAGGAAAAAAAAACTAAATTTTTATACTCGACAATATCGAATAGGAGCGACAGAATTTTTTTTTTTTTATTTTCAGAATCAAAGCAAAAATTTATATGATGTATGTGATGTGCTTTATGAATAACAAATAAAAAACCCGAAGGCAAGTGGGCGTTTTAGGCGTGTTCATTGAAAAGTTTCCATCATTTACAAATTATTTTGCAAGTAAGCGTTAGCTTCATTTCTGCGAACGGGAAAATGTTTATCATAGATATTAGCTGACAGACGTGCTTAGATGCATTCCGAAGCTGACACGAGTCAAGAAGCGCTCTTGAAACTTGCTTCTGTGCTTTTTTAAATTTTTTTAAAAACAAAATTCAATCTTGATACATTATAATATTGAATAGACGTGTGTCCCATTTTTGACATACAGCGGCGTCCAAGGAACGCACGTTCAACTGTTTCTAGATTTATCTGCCGCAAGTTTATGAGTAATGAGCAAAAAATCAAATTTTTTATTACTTTCGAACAGCAGAGGTGTTCTTAGTTTACGTGACACTGTAGGTATGTCCTTCGAGCACTGTAGGTATGTCCTTCATTTTCATTATCAGCCTGCATGCAAGTACTTCTAACGTTGCTGTCAATTTTGACGACGATAGCTTAATTTTTGCCGTCAGAGGAATGTTTACAACAGACATTACATTGGTGGACAGACGGACAGACGGACATGCCTTAATCGATTCAGAGTTTGCTGCTGACCAAGTGCACATATGTTTTATATCGTCTACGAAGCTTCCTCTTGGGCGGTGCAAACGTTTTGACGCGATGACTATGCCTGCATCCTTCGATGACTGGTATAAAAAGCAAAAAATAGAAATACTTTTTGAAAATTTCGCATTTGTGTTTTATTCAATTAATATAAAATTTGATTAAATATTCTTGAACAGTGTTGGGTATTACGGAGTCAGTTTTTTATTTGCTTATAAGGGGCACGAAAAAAATTCTTCTAATTTAAAAAATTTACAAAAAACAGAAAAATACGTTTCAATAAAATATTTTTTAAATTTTTTTTTTTTTTTTTTTGTTATTTTTTAAACCAACCGCCGAAGGACGTTAAATGTGTCATTCAACTTCATCATCACTCAGAAATTCGAATCGGAAGTTCTTCAACGTGTGCATATAAAGGCTTATACAATTAGGACTATTTAAGCGGTAAGCGGTGCCACCACTGCTGCAACCGTCTAGAAAAATAGATGACAGGAAATAAAATTATTAAACCTATAGTTACGTGTGTGAAAAAAGACAAAAAAAAATTGTAGTTAAATGAATTAAAAATGCACTCAACAACATCAAAGGGACTTTTGTAAAGCATATCGAACACGAGAGACTCCATCTTATGTGCAAATATGAAGGCAAAAAAAAAAAAAAAAAAAAATTACTTAATTCATGCGTTCATAGTTAGCGATGTACGTAGAAAATTTAAGAAAAAAAAAAATTGTTTTTTTATGATTGTTCGTTGATGTTCATCAGTCTCTCGTATACATTTTTTCAAAGCGTTTCCATAAAGATATTATAAAAAAATTTGTATGAGGAAAGTAATAAGAACATTATATAGTGTGGCATTGCCCACCATTAAACACCTCGCACTATTTGGATTAACACAGTCATTCATAGAATGAGTTGATCGAAGAAATGATCCGATCTTAACCATTATTCATAGCGTTTTTTAACCTTGGATCAAAGCAACAAATTTCAGATGGATAAATGGACAGACAAGCTTATAATATAATAAAAAGTTGATCTGTCTCAAGTTATTCCAGGTGTTGCATATAACCGTGCATCTTAATATATTCTTCTATTACGATTGCTGCAGTGTATATAAACGGAAAGTTATTGCAGTGTAACAATAACATAAAACTATTCTTTCTTGTTCACTAAATTGGTCCATATACGCTTTCGTCGAAGATTTTTATATTAGAGACTGCATCGCTTTCGCGGGATATATAATAATATTTTATGTATTGCGAAATGGTAGAGCAATGATAGAAGAAAATTTATAATTCCATAGTTGAATTCATAATTAACATTGAGATGTTTAGTGCAAGTTTTTTTTATTCTTTGACAGAAGCATTGACTCTTTTCGAAACAGTTCACTCAATGGTCTTTCATTCAATCGTTTTCTCGATGAAGCTACACTGACTTACTTTTTAAATGAATAAAAACACTTCGTGAAGTTGTGTATTAATGCGCTAGAGAAGTGAAAAACGAAGAGAGAAGAACTTAACTTGTAATTTTCCTGCCGGGGTTTAGTTGACATTTGATTCTTTCGACGCATCGCTGGAAAAGAGCTCAAAAATTTCACTGAAACCAATATATTCAGATGATAAGCGTTTTCCCGATATCCTTGAAAGTTCAAAGCATCCATTCAGTCGATAAAAAAAGTACTTTAAAATTCATATTTGAAAACTCATTTACTGCATTCAAAATTTCTTTGCATTCAAGAAAGCGAATCGTTTGGTGTAGCGTATGATCGAATTATGACGATGTAATTGGATGAGTTTCTCAAAAGCGAATCTGGCAACTGGCAGTTGACTTATTGAGTAAAATTATTGGTTATATATATTTCGTGACGCCATCAATGCGTGTGAGAAAGAGATTCAATACGACGAGATAAATCGTTTTTATCTAGACACCGAGCTTATGCAGCATAGACGAATTGAATTATTTTCTCATTTAATTACTAATTTAAACCAACAACAGTATTATATCATTAGGAAATGATATGCGGGGGTGAGTTATGCATTTTTTATTACCCGCCATTTTCATTTAAACGGAATCATTTTTAATAACTCAAAGAGAAAAGATTATAACCCCGTCTTATAACGTTTTTGTTTTTCAAAATATGTACAACGCATTACTCAATAAGTTCGTAGGATCACAGTCTTCCTTGGAAATTTCAACATTTAAATGCATTAACCATGTTTTGCAATATTCAAAGTTGATCGCTCCTTTGGCCCTTTTTAAGACAATTTATTGATATTATACCATCTAAGTCTCAAAGTGCGGACGCCATAATCTTCGTTGTCGATTTTTGAACTTTCGGTCGAAAAAGAGGGTAACAATAGCAGATCCGATTTATATTTCTTGTTTTTAAGTTTATATTTTTAATAGCCTTTGGCATGTCCGTCTATTCGATTGTCCGTCCGTGTAATGCCTGTTGGAAAAATTCCCCCCGTTCGCAAAAATGAATGTGAACCTCATAAAGTATAAAAATTCTTGGCCAATTTCAAATTTGGAATGCGCCGAAACATGTCCGTTCATTGAGCTATTCATTTGTTCATCTGCGTAGCTGTGCAGTACCTATGGTAGACATTCTCCCTTTAGCGAAAGGCAAGATATCGTCTACGAATTCGCAAAAAAAAATTCGAAAGTGACTTAAACTCTTCCAAGGACACACCTACAACGCCCGCACGCCTATGCGACAAAAGCTTTTATTTTGCAAATAGAAATAATCAAACGCGCCCTCACCCAATATTGGGGAGAATGAAAATTTAGTTCTTTTATTCTCTTTTTGTCTTTTCTAAGATGACGGTAATCGTTATAAAAGATTCGATCAAGACTGAATATAGTTTTCCTACTTGTTTTGAATCATAATTGTTTAATGACATAAAGTTAATGACTCATTATTGCTATGCCTCGTTATACTATAGAAGTGTTAATCGGATGTATGCATATAACTTTTTAAAGAAAGTTGTTATACTCTTGCCTGAAGGATAGAGATGTATTAGGAATATAAGTAAATTTTCATTAGAGACGCTAAAAAGCTTATCAAATTTTTAGCTTAAGTCTAGCGTATGAGGCATAATTTGTATATTTGTTTTTATAAGGAAAAGTAAATTCCAGTCATAAGAAAAATTCAATTTCAAAGCATTATCATCAGGCGAATTATTCCCCTTATACGTAAATTATAAATTATTATAATTACAAGAAAAAACAACAACAAAGGATCGATTAAAAGCTTTTAGAAAGAATTTATTCCATTGCGATTTCAAGGATCTGTGATTGTTGTGTCCTAACGTCCGTTATATGATTATAACGTTAGATATTTCTAAAGTAGTTCTTACACCCTTTCACTATATGCCTATATATGGAAGCATCTGCAGTGAATTTTTTGATTTGTAATTTTTTTTAGAAATAATTTCATATCTTAGCTATACGAAAATGGTGTAAGGAGAATATTTTGGTGGCAATGCTATCTTGACTTAGTAATGAAATTAGTTTTTTTTCTGCTAGCTTTTGGCTCTCTCTCTGATACATAGCAAAATCTAGACTGTGATCTGACATTTTCTATAATGCAATTTATGCACATTTCAACAATTATTCACAAACACTCCGTGATATGAACAGTAATTTAGTTTTTCGCTTATGTAATCATAGTATAAGGTTTGGTTGATTTTATATTGGAATGTTCTTTTATACCCATCACAGAAGGAAGCCTCAGAAACTCTATAAAGTATATACATATATATATATATATATATATATATATATATATATATATATATACTTTTGAATCAAAATATATATAGATATATACTCTTGAACCGATTAAAGTATGTTTGTCTATCCAGTTGTCCGTCTATGTAATGTCTGTTGTAAAGATTCTTCTCTTCTTCTTCGCAAAAATAAAGCTATCGACATAAAATCTGCCGTAAAACATTGAAAGTTTCTGCACATACCTTACACACAACGGGGAAAATTGGTTAGAGTGCACGCCCACAGTAAAGTGCTCCGTTCCTCTAAGCAAAAATATTTGGTGCTTTTGCTCACTGCTTACAAAGTTATTGACGATTAAATTTTCTTCTTTTTTTTTTAACAATTTATCACAAGCTATCTTATCTGCTTAAAAATGCGTTATTCTAAAATAAATATGATGGACACAACGACGTAATTTCGTAATTTTTTTGTAACAATACCTTTTACTTCAGTAAAGAATCCCATTCACTTTTTTATAACCATAAATAACAGCTTGGGATGCTAAAGATATTAATGGTGGCGGGTATGCGAGATTGTGCCGCAGCCGAATATAATACGTTTACCTGTTTTATTTCATAGTTAAATGTAATTAAGCAAAGACGCAAACCACAGCCTTTCAGCAAATATAAAAACCTTAAAAGATGAACACTAGTCTTCGGCGTATACTCTTGATCAGCTTAAGATACTGAATTCGATTTCGTCCGCCACGCTTTTATAACCGTAAAAATTAATATACGACGCTGAATTAATCGTATCTAATGCGAAAGTAGATCTAATCAGGCTGCAACTACGTTCATTTTAAGTCAAATTTTATAATTTCCAATCCATTGCTGGTATTAATCTAAAGCGTGTGGAAATATATTTTAAAGGCTTTCTACAACGCGAACGATTGTAAGAATGATTACACGTACGTTGTAATACCATATACAGGAATTGATTGGCTGCATTGGTATGGGTATGAAAGACTCGTCACGTAGCGATTATAATTTACTTATTTGTTTTTTCTGCAGCTTTTCACGTGAAAAGGAGACACGAAAGAATAATAAAATATTCAATAAGTGGTAGCGGTATGTTTTCCCGTTTTCATTTAAAAAACAAATACAAAAATAAACCCATTAATATCCTGCTCTATCTTACAGTTATTCAAAATAAACCCCTAATAGGGAGGCGGTCCGATCCGAGCAGTATTTAAAAGTGTTTGTTCTTAGGCCAAAGGATGTCGGTGCATCAAATTGGATTAACATATACCAAAAAAAGGCGCTCTGCGGCTTGAACGTAAGAAGATAAGATAGACAGATGGGCAGACACTGAATTCACGATTTCCGGAAAGTGATTCTAATTCGATCGGTATAATAGGAAAAGGGTGTATGTCACATCTTTCGCATAAACTTAATATGCGTTTTGTACTGCAAATGCTGTAAGGTATAAAAAAAAAAAAATTAATGTATTCAGCACATCATTGCTTCCGAAAGTGAGAGAAATGCATTTTCAAATCATAAAACTATGACTTCTACGTAATCAACACATCACTTAACAAATTGGTCGGATGATGTATAGATTTGAACACTATTGACGAATCCATATGTTTGTGTTTTTGTAAAGTAATGGATAAAAAATTCTGAGTTTCGTGTATAGCGTCGCTAAAACCTTTGTAACTGATGAAAATGAATGGTCGGAATGCTATGTAATTTTTCCACATTTTGTTTGACAGTTGGCTCTTTTTAAAAATCATATGGTTTTGGCTGCAGTCATCCTATATCTATATGTCATCGTACGACCTTATTGAGTCATGTGCTATTACGTTTTCATCAACAACACCCACAAAAATTTCTTGCTGTTTATGCGTATTCTACGGAATTAACATTACCGCGAATAATATAAAACCGCTATTAGCAGGTATTACACGAGCTTCCAAGGAGAGCAAACGTTTTTAAAAAACTTTTTAAAAAAATTTAAATGAATATCTCTTCTGGCTGTTTCGATTATTCGTAATTACATCTCATGGATCTTACTACGATTTGGATAAACGAGAAATATTTAAATTTCTTTCTGAATTCCGATTAAAATTTGTTTTGCTTTTTTTCGTTTTTTTTTTTTTGTTTTTCATAATGATAACAATTTATTGATAATAATTATGATTTTAGAAATTAAAATTAAATTTTTAATAAGTGTATATATAATTGATTTGTTTACAATTTTCATTTCATCATATATTACAATTTCTAAATTAAAAACAAAAATTAAAATAAAGAATAAAAAAAAATAAAAAAAAAAAGAAAGAAATGAAGAAATTGTGGAAATTTTAGCTTATGATTATGTAATTTATTTATTAAAGGCTAAGGTACTGCTTTTATGAGACTAATGTATATATAAAAAGGCCTTAGATAAAAACAATGTCCCTAATTAATGCCTGCAGTTGTTACAATTTGTTGCAAAGTTCTTCTATATACTTATATGTTTGTAATTGTTTGCCGATAACAATTTTTCTTATTTTTTTTTATTTCTTATTTTTTTTGTTTTTAATTTTTTTTATTATTAATAATGTCTTTGCTTTAGGAATATTTTAATATGCAGTTTTCATGTGAGCGTGTTGAGAGAAAAAAAAAAAAAAAAAAAATATAGAAGAAAGAAAAACATTAAAGTCTAACTTAAAGCAATTTGTTGAGCATTTTTCCGTTCGGCTTTTTTCGCTACATGCCGCTGCAGTGGCGGTATAATGAACATAACCAAACCGCTAACAGCAATCATGATACCGGCTAAAAGAAATGCAGGTGCATATGAGGTCGTGATGTCATAAAGCCAACCTAGATAAAAATATGATAAAGTAAATGATTAATTATGAACTTGAAATATATATCAATGGCTTTGAAGTTAGCAAAGTTACCGCCAATTGGTGGTCCAATAAAAGAGGCCACGCCCTGGAAAAGTAATAATAAACCGAAGGCGTTCGTTAGTTTATCAAGACCCAATAAGTCAACCAAAATAACCGAAGTCAAGCCCACGTAAGCACCAATAGTGAAACCGAATACTGCACAATAGAAGCCTAGCGTATTGAAATTGGTACATAGTGGGCATAGCGCTGTAGCTATACCGCATATTGTTAAACTGTAATTGTAAATCCATAAACGGTTAACCCAAGGCTTATCGGATATATAACCGAGTATAATTCTGCCGACTGTATTAGCTACACCAATAATCGCTATTAGATAGCTGGATTGTTCTGAATTCAAACTTAACACTTCCGCTTGTGAGACTATATAAACGTAAGGCATATTGAAACCTATGCTAGTGCAAAAATTTGATATGGCAAATATGATAAAAACAGCATCCTTTAGCAATGAGAAATTCATCATTTCCGCTAGGGTATCACGGGTCTCTTTAGAACAGCTAAAGCAACCGCAACATTTTTCCAATTCCTAGAAAAGAAAACATAATAAATGAATTAACAATTTTAACGCTTTTGAAAATGTTTATAAAAGGACAAAAAAAAAAAAAAAAAAAAAAATAAAACGTGTTTGATACTTTAAGGAATCACCATTTTTTAAACCCAAAAAAACCCTTAACACAAACCGGTTTTTAAATTTTCTTTCACAACTCTTGTAGACGCAAGTATTTTAACTTCGATTATCAATTTCATGTTCTTGCGAAGACTTTTTCATATAAATCAGCCAACTTCGTATAATTTCCGAAGATGGTCTGTAAGGGAATACCATAATAGCTGCGACGGAAATTCAACGAAATAGATTGCTCTTTGAAAAGGTTCACACTAAGCGATATATCATTGATCCTAGATTTCGCTTGCATAAATTTAATAAATGGAGTTCCTGCGTACAATATGCCTGAATGTGACTTCCTACACAAGTCTCTGTAGATGTATAATATATTTAAAATGTTGTCCACTTTGTTATATCCCAACACTTGTGATACAAGGCAAGATATTAATGTTGTACGCGATTTATGCAGCACCCAGTAGGACTAGAGATAGACTCACCTTTCTGAATCGATTTAAGCATGTCTGTCCGTCTTGTTTGCTTGCGATATTTTGTTGAAACGGCGAACACTAATCATCGATCACTTTCCGTATGATGTCTAATTTTAATATGTCTTTCTGTGTACCGCCTTATAGTTAGGTATAGTTAAGTATTTAATGGTGCCCCGTGACCCTCTTGTTTTATGATTGATATAAATTATTAGTTGATTTAATAATAATGTTTCCTAGAAATAATTTTGGATTTTTGAATCGCATTTTCCGACAATAGTGTCCATAGTGAAAATGCTTTATCATAAGTTTTGCTTATTTTCACTCAGCAAATTTCGAGGTTAAATACGCGCCGCGTTCTGGTCAGGCGATTGCGGACAATATTCGCAAAAAAAAAAAAAATAAAATTATTTAACATATCGTCTTATGACTTGGCTGCATCGATTGGTGCGCTCGCAAAAGCGTTTTGCATCTCACATAACATGGCGTGCGTTCATATACTAAGATGTACAGTGTTAACTATACGTAGTAAGAATTACGTAATTTATGGTTTACGACGCCGAGGATTTCAAAGCGGGTCTATCCGCGTATATGTCGCATGTCTTAACCCTTACACCGTATAGTAGCCAATTATTGTTCAAAAAACTCTCTTGCAGTTTGTAAAGCGAAAGAAGAGGAAAAGCGACCAAAGCTGGTACGGCTTAGTAGACAGACAGCTTTAAATCAATTCGGAAAAGGATTCTTAATCGATTGGTATAATAGAAGATATGTCCATGCGTAGACCTTCCCACTGCTACATACAAGTTTAATATAACCATAACACAACCGGTGCAGGGTACAAAAGTAGGAGAAATGGGTATTTAGAAAGATTTACATGATGTTTACGGTGAAGATGTTTTATCAAAATGATTTGCTCCGCTTCACTCTTTGGTTTCATTATTTACTGTCAGCAACAACTGCACCTAAGGCGAGTAATTAAAGTCTTGTTTTTTCCACCACCCACCTCTCTGTAGTTCGATCAGAAAAATACCAAAAAGCCATGTACCACAAATTTTGTTTGTTTGCTTGCGAGCCAAAAATTAGCATAACCTTCTTTCGATTGTGATGGTAATTAAGTTTGAAAAAATGTATAGATTACCTGTTCCTGATTTACACTGAGGGTAGAATGCTTAACAGAACCGTAACGGTTGATGGCACTCGCCGAGCCAGAAAGATCTGTACGTGAACGTGCATATTCCGGTATGCTATGAAGAGAACCCTAAAAAGGAAGGAATCGACTTGCTGTTTATTTAGGTTGCTTTTAAAAATCATACCTTGTTTTTACCTGATATAATATATCTGGACGATACATGGTACCGCTACCAGATCTTTCCTTATGGGCCAAATGAGTTTGACTTAGCGATGCTTTTATTATATTATCGTTACTGCAACTTTTAGAGACTGCGGAAAGTTCCGATTTACCGTTGACTACACCGTTCTCGCTAGTTTTGAATGTATAATCTACACTATTCGAACGACCGGGAATAGAGTTAATTGTGCTTACGCCATTGGCGGTATCTGTTTGCATCGTTTGTTTACACTGCTCAGCTTTCTGTAGATTCGGCTTCAAAGGCTCTAACTCGGCAGGTGTGGCATTGTTATCGATTAATGCTTTTTTCTTAATCTTTGCCTCTTTGGGTAGCTCTAAAGGTCTGAACATGGCGCCGAATATTATACAATTTAGAACGATACCGCCAATAATTAACAATGCCCCTCTCCAACCAAAACTGCCGATCAAATGTTCGGTTAAAGGCGCAAAAACAAATGTACCGAAACCAGAACCGCACACTGCAATACCAGTGGCCAAAGAACGTCGGGCCTCAAACCATACGCTGACGCTGACTATGGCCGGTAGATAAATTAAACCGAAGCCTAAGCCGGTACCAAAACCAATTGTAATGATAAGTGTAAGAACATTCTGAAAATGTATATATATATATGAAAATTGTTGTCTATTAAACAAAATAGAATCGAAAGTAAATACCTCAGCAAACATACTGATAACAATACAAAACGAGGCCAGAATTGACCCAGCGATTGTAACTGCCCGGCAACCATAACGATTGACAAATGATGATGAGATTGGTCCTAGTTGTACGTCAAAATTAAATTGAAAAAAATAAATAAATAAAAAACAATCGCAAATATTTGTAAATATTTTCATTTTATTATGTAATGCTAGTAAATGTAAATGCAGTAACGTAATTAATTAAATCAAATACCGTGAAATTTAAAAGTTCTAGACGAAATACCACATCCCTTCAGATATATAAAATAATTTGTCAAAGTACTTGTAATGTCAAAACAAAAAAAAAAAAAAAGGAACTGATAGTTTCGCTTTTCATTGGCATTACAGCACGGCGTTTATGTCAATTTAAGGGCATAGCTTACCTTATAATATACATACAATATATGCTACTGTGATCAAGAATAAATAAAGTGAATTTGTCACGACTTTCAGCGCGTTCATTAAATTCAAATTACATGCTTCATTAATAGTTTGGCCCGACGGAAGAAATTCATAGCAGACAATACCATGTTAATCGACGAAAGCTGTTGACATCACTTTGATTTTTGAGGGGGAGCCGTGAAGGTTTTTTCAGTCATGACATTCGCTCGATTGTTTGGTCTTATGCCTAACTTCAAATCCCATACGTCATGGCGTCCAGATAGGCTGGTAGAAGCATTGCTCGACAGACACAGTAAATGTCGTTAAACTTCTTTTTCTATGTTTGCAAAAGCTCATGTAACTCGATAGCAGTCGAATATATTGTCAAAGACAATAGTACCAATACATAAACAAAATATGCTACCACAGTACCAAAGAAGTTCACCCTATTTTTTTGGTCACAGCACCATACAAAATGAATAATTTTTTTTTTTTTTTGTTTTTTATTTAAATATTTAACCAGTAAGTTACACGTATGGACATAGTGCTGATTAGGAAGAGCCTTAGGCAGAGGCGGACTAAAGAAGAAGGTAAAAGCTATGGAAGTGAAAGCATCAGGAAAGATTGGTCTGAAGGCAATGAAGTTCTTCCGAGTATCATTGACTTGAGAAGGCTCAGGAAAAAATTTATTGATATTTGAAAAATGATTTAAAGTTTCTCGTCTCGTCTCGTCTCGTCTCGTCTTTTGTTTTTTTTTTTTTGCTTTAATATCTAAGAAGAATCTATCGATTATTATTGTATCGATTATCTATTCAAGAAGTCTCTCAATTTATTGCACTTACCTGAGGCAAATGTTACTCCTACCATTATGGATACAATCCAGGCTGTATAGCCTTTACCTTCATTAAAATAATTAAGGAATTCATTGTAAAATAAACCAAAGGAATATGTCATGCCATCGGCTAAAAGAACAGAAAAAAAAAAAAAAAAAAAAATGAAAAAATAATTTATAATAAAAGCTTTGGAAGTTTAAAAATAAGAAAGTATTATTATTTGTTAATAAAAACGAAGCCGTATATCAAAATTGTATTAAAAACATTTAGACGTTGTTAATAACTTAGGCCGATGTTTTAATTGTAATGAAATTTATGACAAAAATTACTTTCATAAGCGATAACACTACTTACTTAACTTGGCGGTGTTGAGATCTTTGAAATTACGTTTTTAAAAATAAGAGTCTGCACTAATCTAGAATTACAATTTGCGTTCAACTATTACCGGTACTATAACGCTTCATTTTGATCATAAACATTGCGTAATAAATCATTGACTTTGACTGCATTGATTATATTGATTGTTCAATTCGGACCGACACTAACGTAGCATGGCAATGATTAAAATCATCACATGTTAAGTTAGTTACAATTAATTTAAATTCCTCTTTGGTGTCTCCATTACTTTACTGTAATGTGCTCATAAGTGTTACAAAATGAAACCACGTGTTTTCTTAAGTACTTTAATACTGAATTAAAATATTTTGCTGAACATCACATTTAATCTAAATAAACAATCATTGATAACGAAATTCACAAGTAGTAACAAAGAAAATAAAAAAAAAAAATTAATTAAATAAATAAATGAAAAATAATGTAATTGGTCACGTCTTACCGGACGCGATACACTCTACCATATTAACGAATAAAGATTAGGTCATCGTTTACGTATTGAGAGTAGAAGTTACTTCGATTCTTTTTCTAAGGAAAAAAAGAGCCAGAAAAGGGAGAGAGAGAGAGAGAGAGTGAGAGAGAGAAACTGAGAGAGGCGGTGAGAAAGAGAAAGTAAGAGAAAGTGTGTGTGTGTGTGTGTGTGTGTGTGAGGGAGAGCGAGCGAGAGAGAGAGAGAGAGAGAGAGAGAGAGAGAGAGAGAGAGACGGAAAGACTGAAAGAGAGAAACTGAGACAGAATGTGTATTAGTGCCACTGTTGAGTACCGAACGAAACGGCGAGCTCTTCATTGCTGGATACTATCTTCCAGTACATAACAGTACATAACAGTACATATTATCACACACACAACGTACTTCTTGGCATTTTGAATAGGCATAGTGCCGTGTCAAAAGAAGCCGGATAGTGCTGCTAGATCGCTGTGGACGCGCTACAATATCCAAAGTTCAACTTGTCATGACACGAAGCAAACTAAACAATAACATTGCCGATGACGACGAATATTCGCGACGACCGTATTTGTGGGAGAGGATTGATCTGATGTATTATCGTTTATATCAAACCATCGAAAGATGCGATCACTAAGGAACGTTATCAGAAACAATTGATGAAATTCCGACAAAAAAATTTGTATGATATGACAAAAGTCTCGATATATTGCATTTTCAGTGTGAAAGAATCCGGCCTCATCGATCAATACTCACTGAGGAAATGTTTAGCGCTCTAGCTTGGAATGTCCTACCCATGCCACTGTGATCAGCGGATATTGTTACGCGACTTTCAATACATGAGTTATTGATTGCGCGAGAGATTCTGTGAGCCTCAAAGGGCGAGACATATTTTCGAGGTGCAGTTTGAAAATTACCTGAGATATGGGAAAAAGTAATGGCCTGCTATTCATGAATTTTGTTCTGAAACAAATGCATTATTGGCCGCAAGAAACGGTCCCAACTAAGTTACACGCATGCCTGTTAAGGTTTTAATACACTTCAATATGTTATTATATGCAGTTGTATAACCCGCTTCTAAACTGAAACTCACATTCACTTTTACAATAAAGCTAATAAAATATATTGATATTAACAATTTTACGATTAGTCTCTATATGCTGCTATAAAGTGCAGCTATGACATCCGGAATGTGTACTGGAATTGTGACTGTGACTATTTCCGAAGCCATTTCATCACTTAGTTTTATATATGATTTAAGGCTTCAAATGTGTAAAAATATTTTGTGTGAATATATATAGAACATTAACTTGAGGGACTTGAGTACCGTCTGCTTCAGAATTATATTTTGAATTGATCTAAGCTTGATTGTCGGTCTGTCCGTCCGATGTCTGAGGTTCATGTACTTTTGTGTTTAACTAACATATTGTAAATATTTTAATGAAATTTCGTATGTCGACTTGTTTCGACCTGAAGAAAGATGAAAGATGGTATGTGAAATCGTCCCAGTCGGATCATTATTTAGATCGCTTCCCATATAACGTTTTAATTGGAAAAGTCATTATACGAGTAGCTGTATTAAGCGAAGTGATTTAGGGTATTAAAAGGTAAACCATGGCCGATTGTAATAATTTTCTTAGTTACACCTTAATTAATACTACAATTCGCGTTACACTTTCTCAGCCCACTTTAATTTGTACCCATATTAAAAGGCAAAGTTAACGAAAAGTTAAACTCAGCCAACTCTGGCACTGGCATTGGCTTATCGCATTCAAATCTCCAAGTCGCCGTTTTATTTGACACATAGGCACCGAGGGGATTGTTAAGAAAGACATTATCCGCCATTATATGCAGAAAATTTGATTATCAACGACAATGTCGTGTCATTGTAAGTAAAAGCGTGATTGTGGATAGATGAAAATGATCGAAATAACGCACAAAAGGGAAACAAGTTAATTAAAAACTGATGAAATAATTAATGAAACATTATATGGAAGTGATCGACGATTTATTTGCTACTTGTAATTAATTGCATCATTCCATAATAATTGGAAATTTAAGTTTCAGGGAACATTCGCCCCCTTTTGTTTTCTCATCAGTTATCTCAGCGCTATTACAAAGCGTCATTAAGCAGCTTCCTCTCGTGCTTCGTTCTTCTGACTGTATATTTAATACATTTTTTTTTTTTTTTTTTAATGTTTACTAAAAGCAAGTTGATAAGAAAACTAATATAAACTGCATTTGTGCAGTGTAAGGCACAGTAACGCTTGCCTATATGTATTATAGTAAAAGATATGCGAAAGATTGCAAATGTGCAATTAAATATTATTACGTAGTTGTCTTCTGAGGTACTTCATGAATCGTAAATTTATTTATTGGGAATTAAAACGGATATGATAACATTTCTCTTATATAACTCTGACTTTATTAACTAACACAGGTAGGTACGTAGCTAAGATTGCATCAAATTTTCATTGACTTTTCTTTTTTAAGCATTTAACTTAGCAGTATTTCTGCTTATTAACTGATTTTGCATTTTTTTCCATCTCCAAGTCCTCAAATATTTCAAATCGTTGGTAAATGTAATTTTTTTTTTAAATTTTATTCATTTATTTATTTTCTATTTTTTTTTTCGCTTAAAACATTTCTTCTTTAAGACATTTTACTGTCGACTTGCCCTGTTGAACTTTTCGTGTTGTCTATTGTTAAATGCAAATGTGTGTACAATACGCGTAAATGAGTCACGCGACTGGGTATTAGTGATTTATTATATTAGTAATTTATTATAAGCGATTACGTAAAACTTACTGATTATATGAATCATGAATGATCCAAAAACGACCATCCATCCCCAACCACCATCCGGCGGTACAGGTTGTAAGGGATCGAGCACATTATCCTTTAAGTCTTTATCACATTTTTCTTGATTATTATTTGTGCTCGTACTGGATTTTCTTCGAGCTGGTGGTCCGTGTACCATGTTGCTGTGGACGGTATTTATGGAATGACTTTGTGTTTACTATTTTTCTTAGTTTCCTTTTTTTTTTTTCTTTCTTTTGTCCTTAATTCACCGTTATTGTATTTACTTACGGATATCATAATTTAACCCTGAAGCTACCTCAATAAATATTTGCACAAAACGGAAAAAGAAAAAATAAAATAATAGAGACAAAGCAAAAAAAAAAAAAAAAAAAAAAGAAAAGAAAAACTCGTTATATCACAAATTTCTTAACATTGACAACGGCAGTACGAGTTGTGACTGTTTTCAAATTGTTAGCATTATGTTGCGAATTCTTAAAGGCCTCTTAAACCCCACTGCAAATGTTTCTTTATTTTATTTAGTGCGCATTAAGTGAAATCTGTAAGAAATTCAAAAAGAAAAATAAGTGAGTAAATAATTGAAAATTTAAATAAATAAAATGTTTCTATTACATACGTACATCTTAATTAATATTTTTATACTCTACAACACCTTTTGTTTTTGCGAGGGGAGGTCCCCTATTCTTCGATATAACACGGTGACAGTCGGTAACAAGTGAGAAAGCAGACAAAAAGGAAAGATATACGAAGATGATAGCCGCAAGCTAGGGAGTTTGGGCCGGGGCATCGGTATATGTTATGCGTTTACCGATTCAAATCTCACTACAGCCGCGACGCAACGGAGATATTCAATCAGCGAACATGCACTTGATTGTCGTGATTTTTCTTACGCGGCTACTCATGCGGATATAAGACTATATATCAAGTGTGTGCCGAAGGACTTGGGATAGGCCAAACTTTTATACTTCGGTTTTTTTGTATTCAACCTACAGGCCGCAAATTTTGATGGTATTTTGTGGAAATTTGGTACACTGACATGTTTCGACCCAAGGATGGACGCTATTGAAAGTTGTTCGGACAGTGCCAGTCCCAGTGCAACGATTTATTATAAAAGGCCTTTACATGAGCCTTTACTGTAGCGTGATGTATGTTACTTAATAGTGATCCGCGGGCCACTATAGTGTCTTTATTCGTTATAGCATAAATTTACTTTTACGATGTATAAGAGTATATTTGTAAGGATGTAGCTAAGCGAAGAGATGGCTTTGTTGTAAATGTTAATTACATTGTATTTGAATGAGCAAATATTGACGGTATGTTATCATTAGCAGTTCATTTAAATGGGAGGCTGCGAATAACAACTTTTTAGAAAAGTTTAATATGGAAATTATTTCAATGCCTTATTAGTTCAATTGTTTCACTCGATATACGTTGTCAGAATTAATGAAAAGAAAATTAATATAAATTAACATAAACTGTCACTTTTGAACACATTGTTGTCACTTTTGAACACATTTGTAGAGTGATCAAGATCATTTCTTCTATTATCACATAGACAAGGAGGTAAGAGTAGTGGCTACCACGTCGGTGCATTCAGCTTCCTATCTGTATCCGGTTTGACTGCAACTGCTTGTAGCCATAGTGAGTGTTCAGTCGGTAAGGACAAAATACTTACCGATTGGTCACACACGCGCTAGACTTTCCTTGTTTACTTATCGCTATATGTTCACCCATTTATTTCTAACTATCGTCGTACACCACAACCGTTTGCTTTAGGGAGAAAATTTCGAAACACTTGTGTTTTATTTTTATTTGTCTTCACTCGAATTGGGATAGACCCATCTTTTATTGTACCGATCGATTCGGAAAGTCATTTTAAGCATGTCTGTCCGTCTGTCCATTTAGTTTTATTTTGTCCAACTCACAGGTCAGTATTTTTGCAATGTTTTGATAGTATTTGATGCAACGACATTTTTTAGGTCAAGGACCGACGTGAATGAGAAAATTTCGGATTGGAGTACTGTAGAGTATTTACTACAGATCATCTGCCCATAATTTTCTACTACATTAATACGTTTATATAAAAACTTTTAGAAAAACTTTTATTTACAGCTTTTGTCAATTTCTAGACTATCAATAGAGCAGAGGCAACATTTTCAGATTTCTTCAAAATCAAGTCATAAAATAAATTCAAGAAAGTGCTCAAGTGCTTCTTCGCACCGAAGCGAACACAGTCGATGGATGAAGATATGATTACTAACACAGTAACACATCAGTATACTGATCTCATGCGATCTTCGATACATATTTTTGACAAGCGCAAACCGTATGACATAAGCCAATTGCAACTAATTACAGTTCTATCCTTGTCAATGTGATATATATATATATATATATATATATATATATAATGATAAAATATTTAATTTTTCTGTTTTAAACTGTGTCTACTAATCCAGTAAAATTATTAAAGATCTTATTTACGTCAATTTGTACACGTGGTTTCATTTCAAAATTAAAATTCTATTATAATATAAAAAAGTTTAAATATTTATTAAGTTATGTGTTATCTTTTAAATATTTAACTTAAATACCACTTTATTACACGTATCCTCCTTAAGTCAAAATGAACAATGAAACTTTTACGAATGAATAAAATGAAAATAATAAAAATATTCTGACATTTTTTATTACGTTATTCTTTGCTAATTGAGGCGCTATTCAGTTAAATATTAACGTTTGTATATAATTCAACAAAAGTGCCGCGAACTTTGATTTAATTAACTGTTGTGACATTTAAAAATTTTATAATTCTTATGAAACGCTTGTAGTATGCGTGATATATTACAATTTTTTTTTTTTTTTTTTTTTTTTTTTTTTTTTTTTTGTTTCCTTCATTTGCAATAGCTTGCAACAAGACATCGGGCACATGATTAAATCATATAAAAGTTTTGAAGTCGCATTAATAATAAAATCTTTTTGATCATGTTTAAGCTCTTAAAGTTTTATTTGCTTGCTTTTCAAACTTTTTCTCCTTATTTTAGTTTCTAGGTCTTGGCTTAAATCATTTCAAAGGGGATCAAGTGAGTGCAGTTGTCGCCACGAAACGAAACCATCACTTAAGGAATGGTATCGATTGGATGCAATCAGTAAAAACTCATGATGGCCTCGGTCGGAAATCTCGCCCATGAATCGTTAGCAGTGCTGGATTAGGGTCTACATGAGTTATGCTTCCATTGTTATGAAGATACTCAAAAAATCAATCAATTTTTTTTTTGATATACGAAAGTTTTTCGTAGAGAAATCGTTTGGCGCTTAACTTTTTACTCTTTATACTGCAATACTAATTGAAAGGTTCGAGGAATGGAAATAATTTAAAAGGATAATTCTATTTAGTATGTATTTCCTCTTCACATTTTTTCTCTCTTTTACATTTTTTTTTAGAAGGATTTCACTTTTGAGGTGAATTTCCAAAAAATCCTATCTACTTATCATTTATGACGTGTTGGTGTTTGTCATTTTCGTAATTTAGTTAACTTTGCGTTCGTATCAATTAATGATGGATCTTATCTGCTGATTATTTGTGACATTAACACGATTGTTGCATGAGAAATTTGTCCTAAAATAAAACTTCTTGTTACCTATAATTGATTTAGATGAGATAATTTTGAAAAGTATCCTTGCTTTAACGATGTCCTGGCCTTATTATAATAAAAATATGCGCAATAATCTTTTACCACTTTAGCTACCTATGAGCTCACCCTACTCTCTTCCTTCACACTTTTACGCAATTACTCAATCTAAAATTTATTCTACTCATATATATATATACAGTTTAATCAAAATCGACATCTAATGCTAGTAATTTCACCCTAAAGAAGATACAAAAAATTGTTCTCAGATCGTTTATATAATTGCGCTCTCGATCATATAAAAAGGTTAATTTCAATTGAGTTGTAAAGGCTCTCTTAAGCCTGTCATATGTTTAATTGATTATCATTTCAGTAGTTAAATATTTTGGACATTCAGCTCGCTATGCGATAATTGTTCACTTTAATGCGAAGAAAATCTTAATCGCTATTAGTGATGCAAAATGACGCAAAATACGCAAAATATTAACATCAAGATCAAGAGTAATGTGCGTTAGTCGCGACGTGAAACTTTTGCTCCGTACTTGATAGAATTGGATGTGTTTATCGTAGCGAGAGAAGTTGTTAACAACCACAAGTGTGTGCAATTGAGTTAACGTTTAAAGATAGCATAGCCAGAAGAAAATCCGCTCAGTAAATTTTGGAAGCAATGAAATTGGATAACCTATCCTTCTGATCTAGTCGCTGCTCTTTCTTACATTTAACACTTGTTTCTATTGATGACTTATTCCTTATCTCGCCAGCGCTTCTATTCTTATGATGCTAGTTAGCACAAGTTTCTTCTTTTTCACTTTATATTTATATAAAATTTTTCGAATAAAAAACTAAATGCGTTGATAATCAATACCTGCCAGTCGGTAAAATAATAGAACGAGAATATTACCGTAATCGCAGACGAGACCAGTGTTAAGGTATTGGATGCATTGCAAAATAGATGCTATTGCATCGACTCCCACTAACTATAGTCAACAGAGATGATTAGGATAAATTAGTATAAAAGTTCCATTCAGAACTACATTTAGAATTTGAGAAAAAAAAAACACTGTTTCTACACTGAGTCTTACCTACGTAATACATTCTCTTTATATTTCAAATACAAAATTTAAACAGTGTTTCCGTATCTCTAAAAAGTCAATGCAGAAGAACACGTACTTGCGTTCATACAACATACAGTGAGCCGCTTTGAAGATTCTTTTAAGCGGTTTATAAAAATATCCAAATTTTTGTCATTGACCTGAGCAAGCGCAATAAAGTAACCTAAGCAATCCGGTATGGAAGTTAATGAAAGGAATAAGTGTTTACCTAATACGTGAATGTTCAAAACATTGCTGCGACATACTAAGAAACCATATCGAGGGCTAGAAGCCTTAGTCTTAGTTTAAGAGACCTTGATTGGAAGAAAAAATTCGATTTGTAAAAGAAAGAACGATCTTCTGTTAGAGAAATGCATCGGCTCATGATCGTCTCTTTATAATAAATAGAATGAAGAAATGTAAATATGGAACATTGGAATATGCTACACAGCTCTTCCTGACTTTCATTTACCCCGTAGAAGGGTATTTCAATATCCTTGCAGAAAATCGCTTTATTGTTTCAATAAATGAATTTGTGAATCAGTTGCGAAGCTGCAGTTAGGGAAACCTGTACTAAATAAAAAATCATTTCATCATCACATTGTTTTATCTGCAGACCGAAAACATATTGACTGGCTTAGTATGCGAGCTTAAGACAATGAAGGAACTACAGTGGTATAAGAAAAAAAACCCCGTTGCTCTACAGTTATTGCGAAATGATCGTAAAATTAATTCAATCCGAACCGATTCGCAATAGTGTTCGTGTTTGTGTCAAAGCACAACAATGTACGAAATTTCATCGAAATATTTCAAAAATTGTAATTTGTAAACTAACAACACTAAATGAACAGATAGACGGTCCAATAAATTCAATTCCATTCCGACAGTGAAACGCTGAATCGAGTGGTATTGACGTGTCTCTCTCAATCTTCTTGGTGTGGGATGGATATAAGAACTAAATGAAAATTATCGTATTATATAATTATTATGTTATTTTATTTATTTATTTATTATTCATTTTTTTTGTTTTTTTTTTTTTTCATACATATAAAGATCGCCTATAAATGTTTATGTATGTAATTCTTAATGCGTTTGTCTCTCAATATCTTGCGGGCATGGAATGGACAACATGGTCGCATATGTTTGCATTTTTAAGCGCATTCTTCTACATATTTAAATTTGTTTTTCTACTTATCTGTTAATTTTTAAAATTTTAAATTTATTGTTACTTTAATGCTTTTGTCCTTAACATTGCCGCAATAAATTCAAGTTTAGACTCTTGTCTACTTGTTTATTCGTTTACGTATATTTCGGATGCATTATCATAAATTTTTTATGCTCTTTGATGTGCGACCTGTATAACTAACATTGCGAATAAAATATTTATTGGCCAGCGCTAGCGGTATTTACCTAACTACTATTCGCTCGTTTCATTTTTTTTTTTTTGTTGTGATCAAATTTGCAAAAAAAACTTTTATAAAATATCATTTTCATCGTGTATGCGTGTGTTTGTGCGTGTATGTGTGTTTTAATGATATTTTAATCTCCAAAATTTATGAATTAATTTATATGGCCAAGTATCTAGGATGGGTATAAAAAATTCGTTTTAAGTTAAATTATAAGCGTCTTTTTGCTTAAAAGTCAGTTCAGATAACCTTACTTATATGTATGTATATATATATATATATATATATATAGAGTAACATTTAAATAGAGAAAGAAAAGAAAGAATGTCCAGCATATTATCGGTCCATAAAACATAGAGATATTTATTAATTTTCTCAAAGTTTACACACACACACACACACACACAAATGCACATTTACTTTAATACTTCATTATGGATATATGGTTGTAGGGACAGTATGCTAGGCTTATATGTCTAAAATGAAGATAACAAACAGTAAATGAAAACAAGATAATTTTGTAATTATTTATTATAAATTCTAATCTTGATATATATATATATATATATATATATATATATATATATATATTTTTTTTTTTGCTTTGTGTTAATATACTAAATAGCAACAGAATTAGATTCTTAGATATTTTATATTGTTTATTAAAATGTGCAATTATTTATATAAAGAAAATTGCGCCAGATTTCCTTAAGAACAATTATACCATAGGAAATGATTTGCAATTATTTTTCTTCTATTAAAATTTTAATAATTATTATATTATTACCAACCTTGAGAATGGAATTCAGATAAAGCAGTGAATACGGAAAAGCAACGATTATTGTACATTCATCTTTATTTTATCCTTGGCTGGTTTAGTTTCTATCTATCTCTTAACTGGAAAACTAAGTTCTATTTAAATTATTTTAAAAAAAGTCTCAACAAAATTTCTAAATTTCTCATATAGACAGAGAGGGAATCATGAAAAAAAATTCAATTTCAATCAAAAAGGAAGTAATAAAGTTATATTCACTTTGAGATGAATACTGAATGCTCTCAGCATCTGAATGAATTTTGACACATTTTCTATATATTCATTAACAACAGTTGAGGAACACTGAGTTCATTCTTTCGTTTGCAACGGCGAGATATGTATTATGCAGATAGCATAAATATATATTCATAAACGTGGAATTTTGAGTCGATTTACTCTTCTCGTTTGCCCATTTGTCAGCCCTTTCGTCCATTCTATCAGCCATTCTTGCCGTCCATCATCTATTGCTGAAGCCCTTATTATCGCTGAGATAACTGAGATAAAAAGCTGAAAGTTCTTAATTGATGGCCGCAGACCATCATAATATCCAAAATTATGTTCATAATATCCAAAAATTATACGAAATAATGATTACAGCGAACCAATCGAATATAGCCCTGGATTCGTATTGCAGGTCATACATTAAGGCATTAACGGAAAGGAAAAATTTTTTCAAAATTGAAACCTTTTTCTTTTTTTCAATGAAATTTTCGAAAAACGATACGGAGCAAGGGATAATGAAGGATCAAATCAGAAAATTATACATGGCTGTGTCCCGATCTTTTGTATCCACAGTTTTTTTCTTAAAAGAACTACAAAAAAAAAAAAAAGAAAACAAAAAACGAAATTTCCATGCTCTAATAACATGGCGTGGGCGTGGCTGACTTTTTCATTTTTGTACACACACACCAATATACGTGAAAATTTTTAACGCCTTTGACAATTTTTTCTTTACAGATCTAGTCCGTCTTCGAGAACAACCACTGTGCGAGAGCCTCCAATGTTTATAACAAATGTGAGGCTGACACTTTCATTGTTGCAAGGCAGAGAGCATTTGTCATACATTGTATAGACATTGTATAGACAGGCGTATAAAATTTATGGGCTATGTAGGGCTTCATCCCTCTGAATAGGGTTTCGACAAAATGATTATACTTTCAAGAACTTGTTTTCCGACTATTGCCACGCATTCTTTGTGGTTATAAAACAATTTCACTTTTTTATATATAGTTTAGGAGTTGCATTTTCATATATAAGAACTCGCATGTTTTCTTGCCTTTTTATATCCTACGAAAATTGTGATACAGAGTATATTAAATTTGTGCAGATGTATGTCACACGCACCAAGGTCTGAGGATATCTCATTTTTTCATTTTTTCTTTTACCAGAATTCTTCAGAATTATTTTCGAATCGATTTGTTTGTCTGTCTGCCTGACTGTTCACCTGCGTGAACGTTTGTCTTTCTTAACGTCGATTTGCCTAAGCATTCGTCTGTTTGACTGTCCGTTTGTTTAAATGTGTATCTGCCTGCCTCTTCGTCTGCTTAAATAGTGTCACGCTGTCCCTGAACTTTTGTTCGACCTCTCTACTTGTGTTTTCATGCGCAGCCTATTGATCGCAACTTCACAGATATTTTTTGGGAATTTTGGTTCTCTGGCGGAGGCCAAGGATGAAGCAAGCACAAAATGGATTTCATCGAATAATTTTCAATATTTCTCGACAAAAATCGATGAATAGAATAGAAACTCTAAATTGTTGAGAAAAATTTCGATAGACTGGATCGATCTTTTGAAGTCCCTTAAATCTCTTAGTAAAAATTTCGTGAATGTTAAAGATACGATACAAAGCGAATGCAGAAAGTGATGCAAATATTACTGAATGTAACAAGCGGAATGAGAAATCTAACATACTCGCAATTGTTCAGTGATGGAAGTAAGCGAGATTATTAAGTTGTCGTAAACGCAATAGAATTATGTCTTCTTCTCTAAATTTTGTCGCTTGGTTTTGCTGTCTACTTTGGTTTTTTAAGATTAAGAATTTTTTTTTTGTTGCTAAATTTTTATGTAAAATGAATAAAAATAAATTTTTAGATGTTTTACTATCCTGTCAATCAACTATTGATACCAACGTGTTTCGTTGATTATAATAAAATATCGATTGTTCATCGATTGTTTTGAAGACATTGAAGACTATATAGAAAGTGTAGGCAAGCATCTCTCCTCTTTGAGGATCGAAAGTGTGAAACATGAAATTCCTTCTTTAAGTGAAGGAAATTCAAGTATTGCCTAACGAATTGTGTTACATGTAGTTCTATACGGTGTTTAAATAAAAATCTCACATGTGATTATTATTATATTTTTTTATTTATTTATTTATTTTTTTGCATTAATAACCGCGCGTACATACATCATTTTATGAAAATGGGTGGATTTAACTGTAACTACTGTTAACTTGTTAATAAATGTATATTTACGCAAATATATATTCTTTAGTATATTAATATACACAACTAGGACAGCGCGTCACACTATTAATAAATATCATCAAGTCATCCCGTTAGTAACAAATAATAAAAATATACTTCGGAAACTTCACATAAGGACTAACGATTCGTTAATAGTGCGAGAAAAGTGAAATAAAAAAGAATTATAAGGTGACGTAGATTTGATCAGAAATACGTCTGAATTTTTAAATTATTTATGTTTTGGTAAAATTTTGAAAATGATCACAAATGAACATGGATTGCAGGCCAGCAAATCGAGCAATTGATTAGCTGGTATTTTTCGGCATTTATACGCTACTGATTCGACCGATTCGTTATTATTATTCCTTTTGCCAATTTATGCTTATATACTTTGGAATCCCGGTGCCCTAGACCCTTCAATAATTATTGTATGCATGATGGCAGTGGTTTAAGATTCGCCTTAAGGCAATGTTTTGTTTGGCAATTTTTGTTTGCTTAAATCTACATGTGTGCATGTTTGTTTGTGTGTGTGTGTGTGTACCGTGCGTTTTTGCCTTTGTTTTGCTATATCTAGGCGGCATATTACGTAGTATTGGCACGAGTTCATTGACAATATGTGTTTGTTTTCGATTAGATTTAAAAAAAGAGTACATTTTTTTATATCACTTAAAGACTCGAGAAATTTGAAGATGTTTGTGTTTAACATTGTTTCTTTTACATTATTGATTTAGTTACTATCTTTTCTTATTAATTCAAAAAATATTTGTCAATTAAAAAACGATTCTTTATTAAAATAAGTTTGTATTTTTTTTTGTTTTGTTATTTTTTTTTTTTTTTTTTTTTTTTGATGAAAATTACCTTTGTTTTTGTTTTACTTTCCGAATGGTTGAAAACTTCTTATTGATTTAACACTATGGTGCGCTATTTATCTGAAATATTTTTGAAAATATTTTGTTTATGTTTTGTTAATTTTGTTGTAATTTAAGAGAAACAATATATTTTAAACACATACATATATATTATATATATATATATAATATATATATATATATATATATTATATATATAAAAAAGTGCGAAAATTTTTTTAATATATATTTATTTATTTATTTATTTTTATGTTTTTTTATAAGTCTTGATTAATATAAAAATCATTCACGTCAACTTCGAGCATTATTTTGTTCAAGGTGTAAATATTGGGGAGGAATAAAAGTAAATTCCACTTGTAATCATACTTTTTTTCTTTTTAGTTTATTTATTTATTTTTTTTTTTTTTTTGTAGTCTATTAACACATTTTTTTTTCTTTTTATTGGTAAACAGTAACTATGTGAATTCTCATAGAGTTATTTATTCATTCATTTATTTATTTCAATAATTTTTTTCTTTTTTTTGTTATTTAAATATTTGTTGTTTTTTTTTTTTTTTTTTTTTTTTTTTTTTTTTTGTATATTTTGCAAATGCATAAAAATCTATTTTAATATTCTTTTGTTTTCCAGCAATATAACACAGAATATTTAATACGAAATATTGTAACCAATTGGCTGTTGATTTTCATACGTTACGTTTGCTTGGGAGTAATGCGTGCAGTATCATTAAGCGCCGATTAAGCACTGAATACGGCATGATTTTTTTAGTTATTATTCTAGAGTAAAAATAAAAATTTAATATTCTTTTCTTCACACTATGTTAAATGGCATTATTTTGTTAGTAAATGTTGTTGCTTTTTATTATTTTAATACAATAATAATTTGTTATCATTGATAATTATTTATTTATTTATTGTTTTCTTTTTTTTTTGTTTTTTTTTTTTCTGTTTTTTTCTAATTTATAAATGTAAAGTACGAGAATGAGAGATCGATGTCTCTTCGTCGTGTTATTATTATTGTTATTATATTGAAAAAGAACTCATTTTCAGTAAATAATTTTTTTTAGTTCTCTTCGAACCGATAACACACATACATGTACACATAAATATATGCCTATGCAGACAATATACTCATTTTCAATTTTAATATTTGCTATTTACTTACTATCTCTCTCTCGCGCTCTCTCTCTCTCTCTCTCTCTCTCTCTCTCTTTCTCTTTCGATTCGATCTCTCATTCTTATCAGTTCAGTTGATTCGTTTCAAAGAAAATGCTATAAATGCTTGTATTCGTGTGAGTCAAAAAAATGCATTATTTTTTTTTTTTTTTTTACTTATATCTTGAAAAGTATAGACATACAATGCTAATATCCATTTAATTGCCTATGTGAGCATGAATATTTAAATTGTCCCCGTTCTCGGAAACATTTACTATAAAGTTCAACGGAACAGTTACTTCAAGGCAAGAATGAAAGGCAAATTTTTTTTTTATTTTTTTTATTTTTTGCGTTGTTTTTATCATCTAGCTGCTAGGACACTGATAGATGAGTTAACAACAGAGAAGAGTGGCTTCAAACGACTGATAGCCAAAGACTTTGCCTTTGTATATATACCTTTTCATAACGTATTTATAAACTATTCGGGTAAAATGCATTTTTTGGATCTTTTAAAGCTCAAAAGGCATGTAAAAAGATAAAACATTTAAGGTTAAGGCTAAACACAATCATAAAATTGCCGTTCTCTACACTCTTGGACTTCAACATCCGAAAATTTTCCCCTCACAAAGCGATGGTGCATTAATTTTGTCACATGGCTTCGATGATATGACTTGCAGTCCACAATATCAGTTTCTTGTGTCCACTTTTCTCTTTGCTTGCTTTTGGATATATTTATACTTTCATTCTCATTCGATTTGCATAAATCAGCTTTGAACTAGAAGTGTGAATGAGTTCGCTTAGTTGTCGTTCAAACCGTAAGAATGTCGAGAAATATTATTTGAAACATTCGCGTCATTTACGCTCAAATTTTGTGTTTTTGTTATTGAATTGTAATCTTCAGCTTATTAACGGATCTTCCCTTGTATATTTGAGATGAAGTTAACCTCTTACTTTTTTATTTATAAGAATTCTGTTCATAAAATTATTGATTATAATAAACTATCTATGAGTATGAAACAATCTGCTTCAAATTTTGATTGTGTGAATAAATCCGAGGAAGAGGTATTTAGGTATTTATAAATAGCTCGATTTGAATTCTGAAATAGATCAAATATATGAATAGTTTGCAAAATATCGTAAACATTGATGCTACGCACAAAATAGTTCAGTGAGTTTTGTACCTCAAGCAGTAATTAATTGATTGAATATAAAGAAAACCGTTGTCATCGTTTCTCATTTTTTGCTCTGATTAAAGCAATTTGTGCCTCTTTTGTTAGTTTGATGGCTGTCAATGGCTTTTTGCATTAAGCCTAGACGTCGCACCTCTTCGAGATTATTTAATGGAATTTGTTACGCTTGCATAGCTTGGGAAGAGGAAGGAAGTTATTGCATCGAATTGAATCCGATCATCTCTGCCATCATTTCCCGCTTACAAGCCTACTTTGGATAATCGTTATATGGAAGAGATTTGCAATTTTCGACATCTCTTCACGGAAATTACTGCAAAATAGTATTCTCGACTACTAAGGGGATGTACAAGATTTAAATGCGAGGAGATCATTATATGAAGCCTCTCCCAAACAAACCATGTAAAAACACCCTACAATTATTCATATAACAGTTTTTCAAAATGCGGCATTATGTGGGAAATGGTAGAAAAAGTGATCCAATGCGAAACATTTCGAATGGTATTTCGCGTTGGGCCAAAACTTATCAGTGCTTTCAAATTATTCAAAATACCTCAAAGATTGCGGCCTCTTTATTGAACACTAGAAAGCAAGGTGGACGGACGGATGGATGGAGAGGCAAACTTAGATTGATTTACAATCATTTTCGATTCTAAATCGATTTTTTCACAGAATCATTTTCCGACTCGATCGGTATAATAAATGGTCGATATATCTCAAGTTCTTCCGCGTGTTGCATATATCCACACAAGCTTAATATACTCTTACATCATAAGCGATATAAGGTATAAAATGTAAGTTTTTATATAGCAACGAAATCTAATTTATGAAGCGAGAATCGATAGAGAAAAGTTAACTTACTATGGCGAACTTAGACTACATAAATTGTACTGTTTTTCGGGATCGACTCTATATAAAATTTCTGACAAAACGTCACCCCTTGCATGGCAATGACTTGTAAGTTTTTAAATTTTATTAACGGAGACACATAAAGAGTCGCATACAAAGTGAACTGACGTAGTGCATGCAATAGTCAACCGTGCGCGTCTATAAAGTTTTTAGCCGGTTGAAGTAAGAAACCTTTAAAAACATTGCGTTAGCCTTGAAGGGAACTTTCAATAATCATGGATAATTATTACATTTTTGGCTTTGGCCGCGTCAACCAGCATCATATTCGTTCCAAATCTTTATATCTTTGCTATTGTCTGCAAGTTATTCGCAACATGGTCTCATAATTTTGATTTTCTTTTTTCGATTATTTCTGAGTAGATAACATCCATTCATAATTTGATCACTTAATCTACACCTGTTAATTGTCTGCTAAATTTTGAATTTTTTGAAGATCAAGGTCGTACAAGTTTTTATTATTTCTGAATCTTTTGTGTTTATTTTTAAATGCTACAAACGGAATGACAAACCCACCTTATCTTCATCGTTCGATAGCGTGGATAATAAATATGAGGAAGCTTCATTAAAGGAACATTTGATTGGGTTTTGTTTGTTTGTTTGTTTGTTTGTTTGTTTGTTTTTTTTTTTTTTGTAATATCCAAGGCACATCATATAGGGTTAATGCAATGACAGCATTACAATTTGATTGATTTATTCGTACGTACGTACGAAAGAGCTCGAGGCGGCCTTAATTCATTTATCTACGCTTTAATAAGATAAGAATGAAATAATTTCAAGTTACATGGGACTTTTTATCTTTTAATATGAAAATTGGACTGTGGTATATTCTCGAAGCGGGTTAGCTTATTTTTGTCTTGTCTAAATATATAGAGTTCGCTCGTTGTATTCATTAAAACTTGAAACGACTTACAGCAAATTCACAGCAAACTGTAAAAGACCCCATCAAGTACAAAGAGTAATATGAACGATTTTTTTTTTTTTTTGATTGTAAGCGTTATCGAAGCTGCCCAGAAATATGCCCATAAAGTTAAAAAAAAAAAGAAGAAATTTTTTGTTAAATACTTAATAGATATATTTGTTTGGGCCCTAAGCCGATGAGGTTAAACTAGCTATGTCGTATAAAAAAAATAAAAATAAAAATAAAAAATTTTTCTTTTCATTGTGTTGAAGAATATCCTCCTACATTGAAATTACGAAACGAACAAGTATTGCAATTCAATCACTAGGCATGAGTAGCGATAGCGAGAGAAAGAGAGAGAGAGAGAAAGAGAGAGAGAGAGAGAGAGAGAGAAAGAGAGAGAAAGAGAATGAAGCCAAAGCAAACAATGTGGGTCAAATTGTTTTTGATATCTTCTAAATATAAAACAAATACGCATATATTTCTTCACACATTATTTTATTTATAAATTTTACTGAGAATATTTATAAATGCGAATGTAATATAAGTTATTCTACATTAACAGAGAAACTAGCCCATGCTGTGCATGTATATCTTTCTTGTGATTAGACTATTGATTGAATGCCCGCAGTACAAGCGATCGATGAAATCTCTTTATAGACAGACATACATACGAGCGGCCGTTGAGTGTCAGCATTTCAAACGAACAAGTGATATCCGTGGTAAAAAGAAAGCTATCACAAAACAACTGGACAACAATTATATTGATAATAAGGAGATTATTATAGATTAACTCGGTATGTTATCTTAAAAATAACTTGTGATTAGGACAACTTTTAAAACGTAAATATGCGAGAAGCATGAAATTTTCTTTAGCAACAAACCAATAGTTGTTATAGATTAACATACTCTTTACACTTTATTTTTATGGCGACT